CATTTGGATGTTATTTACATTTTCATAATGCGATGTCAAATCACAATAATGGATTTTGACAGCAAACTTGAAAAACAGCTGATATTTTGACTGACCTTTTTTAACAAAAATCGATGTAAATATAGAATTAAACATTTATTAATGTTTATGCTCTAAAATAATTTTTAAAGATATTTACATTTAAATAAATGTTTTTTGGATAACATTAATCTGGGCTTATTGAATTCAATTCACAATAATGACAGCAAACAGCTGATATCTCTTATTTACGTTCAATAAATTAACAAAACTTTTACGTAATTTCTTCCAAACTTTTCAAACCTTTTCGGATTTGTGTCTCGTGCTTCTTCACCACTGGGTATATTTTGTCTTGTGGCGTGCAATAACTTGCAAATGAAGTGTTACTTTGCCTCCTCTGCAACGTATGGCGGATTGTGGCGAATATGAAATCATTTCTTATTTTCTTTTACGCAAAGAAAAAAAAAAACTGCAGACTATATTTAATTCACATACATATTTCAATATTTTTTGTATTCGTATGTATGATATCAACATATTAGGTAATAAAGATAAAGGCGTTGTTCAAACAAGTGATTTCAGAAAAAATGGAATATTTAAGTGCATATCTTTGTGAAGTGAACTGAATTTTTTATGGAGAAATATTAAATAGAGAAGGGGATAAACAAATTTTTTACAAAAAATTGATAAATAAAGGGCTTATTATTCATTATTTTTAATGATTTATTTTAAATCATCATTCATTTGACATATGTAAAAAGAAAATGACAACTTAAATCACGACGAAATAATTTTTTATTATAAAACACGTTTCACGCAAATTTGACATTAAAGGCCCTATATGACAGTTTATAGCACCTTTAAAGATGATATGAGATTTATTTGATATTTAAAGAAAATAATTGACACCCTCAATGACGTGTTTTATTAAAACAACTTTGGTGTAAACATTGAATAACATAAATGGTCTATGGACTTTTAAAAAGTCACCCAAGAAGCAGAAACAGCTGTTTTTCTTGAATAAATATAAAAAATGCTGATGTTGTTTATGTTTTCGTGATGATAGTCAATTCACAATAATGGATTTGAGAAGCAGCTGATATTCATCTGGTCTCCCAGGATGGCCTCAAAACATTAGACAGTTGACTTTTGTTTGCTGGGAGACCTTATTAATAGATCTTGGTCTATTCGAATAGTTATTGTAAAGAATTGTAGTTTCTTGCAAGTTCTGAAACCGACTCAAAAAAATCAATAAAACAGCACTAGAAATATTATTTTCAATTTAAATGCATGAACAAAAAGCTCTGTTATTTTTCAAAAAACGTCCCAATATCCTAGCCTTATACTGTATTCCCATTAATCATTTTTCAAAACTAGCTCCCAGTTAACTTTAACAATTCATCACATGCTAATAACAGATGTCTCATAAATACTAACTGAATAATTGGAACAGATAACGCCCTCTTAACAAATATCCTGCAACCACATTTTGCCAGCCATGTGATTAGACTGTGGTCGATTACATTAAGCAGAACAAGTTTATTTTTTTATTAAATCTATGTAAATAGTACAGGTTTTTTATACAATAAAATGTGTCAACGACATTACGCTCAATAATTTAATTGTCATTACAAAGCTGTTGAGGTAGGAAATTTTGCTAACACAAATTTTTAATGGAGTGCATGCAAAAAATGTTACAAAATTAAATTAAAAGAAAATAATAAATTAAAATTTGAAATATTTTAAAATTATTAATTACTCTAATATTATCGATCGATTAATATACAAAAGCATTAGTTGAAATTGTAGGAAACAGCTGATGCGAGGTGTCAAAATGCCGTCATTTTAATGACCGCAAAACAAGCTCTATTTATTAGGTAACAGTTGTGTGGTTTGCATTAAAAAAAGTAGTTAGTTTAAAAGTCATTATATAAAATTTAACTGATTAAAAAATATTACAAAATTAATAGTATATATATTAAAGCTGCTGTCATTCAATACTGCTAGTGTTAACCATGCTATATTATATTTTTATTACGCGTTATTGTAAACATACTTAAAAATGAAGGTAAATTTAGATTTACGAAATCCACTCGATCTCAAATGTCAATTCCATAGCGTATAAGTCAAATATAATCCACTGGATTTGTGAACAGGATTAACGTGACGTATATGGAATTGACGTTTGAGACCGAAGGGATTTAGTAGTCTAAACGTAGCCTATGCTTCATAAAAATATTTTTGCTGGTGTCTTTTTATGACATGACACAATGAATATGTACTCCATCAACAGCTGATTACCACATTTAAGGGGACATTAGAATACACCTTCTATACATAACAATCTGCTGATCGACCCAAACCTATGGAAATCAATGTATTCGATTAATAATGACATAGCAGTCGAATAGATTTATTTCAATAGTTTTTTTTTCGATCAGCTGAATGATATGGTCATAACTAATTCTACCTTAAATCAAATCCTTTGTGTTAAGTGATCGTTCGCTCTAAAAATTGCTATAGAAGTTATAATACTTAATATTAATATCTACTCATTAAAAAGCTGATTATGTTTTCTAAGTAAATTTCCCTGTATCATCCAGGAATACCAAGGCTTATCAGCTGTTCTCAAGTTTGCTGTCAAAAACCATTATTGTGATTTAACTTTACATTATGAAAACGAAAATAACATCAAAACGAAGTGGTTTTATACACAATTTCGGCCCAAATACTTGTTTTTTATTCTTAAGCTCCGTCCAAAAGTTATTTTAATTTTCAAGGTGTGGTTTATTTCCTGCAATAAATAAAATATCATAAAAATACATTAGGTTATGACAATCGAGTGGTTATTGAAATAGCATACGGTACGTTACCACATACATTACGTTATCAACTAATTGAACGATATTGTTGTATCATGAAAACATACTTTAATGGTAACGCTGCAAAGCTGGATTACACTATTTAAATAACAATAAAAACTCATGTTCAAAGATGAAAATAAATAAAATTGATTAATTTTATATATTATATTAATTGTAGAAGTCATTTAATTATATAAATATTATGAAAAATATATAGTTATTATATTTTCCTCTACATAACAGCAAACGCCATACGTCATTGTCGTAGATGCCCCCTTCATTAGAGAAAACATATTGTTACGAATATAACTTTAGATTTAAGTTCATTTAGATGAATTCCGTTAATTTAAGAATTTGAATTGTAACGTAAATTTCTACTACGCAGTTTATTTGAATAACTTCACAACAACAACCACTGTATAGATTTTTCTACATCCTTCCATTTCCTCTTTCATTTTCTATTTTGTTATTGTCGTACAATTCTTGTTAAACGTCATTCCTCTTTCTTTGTTATTCCCTCGCCTGTATATGTGTTGTTGTTATTCCTCTTTCTTTGTTATTCCCTCGCCTGTATATGTGTTGTTGTTATTGTAAGTTTGTTTACTCAAGTTTGTTGTTGTCATTGTTCACTCAGTAAGTTTGTTGTTGTTATTGTTACTCTATGTGTTTGTTGCATTGGTAGATTGTTCGTGATCTAGGTGTTACCAGATCGTCTAGAAACTTCTGTAGCGACAGGCAGGGCTCATACAAATAGAGGGAATGGAAAGGCAGTGAGTCAGTTGTGAATCAGATCGCGAATTGAAACCGTCGTGTAAAGTAAAGTGCAAAGTAAAGTTGTGTGAATAAAATCATTGTAATAATCGTAATCAGAACGAACCCGCGTTTTATTTGGTACGAACTGTATCGGGAAATAAAACAACGTCTACACGGGATTTAGTAAAATCCAAGAACGTAACAATATGTTTCTCAATCAATGACTGGCAAATTGATGTCAAAGTGAATGCATCAGCTGTTATATTCGTGAAATGAACTGTCAAATGTATATTGGAATTTAAATCAAAAGAAATAAAAAAAAATAGAATTAAAACCTTTATTATTAATGGATTGGGTAAGGAATATAATTTTGTCTTAGTACCCTTAATAATAGCTACTTTTTTATTCTAGATGAGGGATGTATTGACTTCTTCTTTACATTTAACGCCATTTACTTTACAAATGTTTGCAGGGTTAACCCACTTTATAAGGATTTATTTAACAAATAGGCAATGGAATTGTCAATTGCAATAACTATACCTAGTTAAAATTTAATGACATCATTTGCCTCTTCTCCTACCTTTTTAGGTGGATGGCCCGTGTCAATTTTTTAACTGTCATACCGTACTGATAGTGTACACTCGCCTTCGATCAAGGCCCATTTTACAGATCCACCAAAAACTACGCAAAAAATCTATCATTGTGATTGAATTACCCTCCAGCTGTCAATACATTGTTTACATTTCCCAAAAAAACAATTCAAAATAGACAGCTACCTGACAGCCCAAATCATATCAGCTGGTCTCTCAGTTTGCCATGCGCCTGACTAATATATAAAAATAAAAAAAAATTGTATTGTCCGTGCAAAATCATTTTTTGAGTCGAAAAAAATCACGTAAGAAACTAAATACGAATAATATTTGAAAAAAATCGTCTAAATTTTCCTTAGAACCCGTTTCAATTTGCCAAATGAAAAATCGACGAATGGCATTGGAAAAACATGTGAGAATTTATCATATTCAAGATTGAACAAAAATAAAGAAAAGTGCAAGAAAAGAAAAACCAGGAGAGTGAGTGTGTGTGTGTTGTGTTCGAACAACGTACCAGAAGAGAAGAATTGTCATAGTTTTTTTTGTTCCGTTCAGTTCATTTCCTTTTTGGTGTTGTGAGCTGCCTGCCAGGATACAAAATTAATTTTGGGTAAAAGTTATTTATTTTTTTGAAATGTAATATTTTGATATATTTACAACAAATATATACAATTCCACAGCTAACAAAACAAATATGGAAGAAATCAAGGTAGAGAGCTGCACGGTGCAGCAACAGCAACAACAATCAAAGAAAAAATCTAAAAATAAAAAGAAGAGCTCCAGAAATGAATCGTCGTCGGCGACGGCTATTGGCAGCGAAGAAGACCAATTGTCTCAAGTGGGGTCAGCGGTGGACATAAATGGTCTAAAAGATCAGTTAAAGCAACAGTTACATATAGGCAACAATAAGGTCAATGGCCTTGTAATAGAAAAAGAATTAAATAGTAATAATAACTGCACCAATAGTCCCACTACCACCACCCTTAATGGCCATCATCAACATCATCATAAAGGAGAAGAAGAAGCTGACGATATAAGTCTGACCATGGCCAAAAAATCGAAAAGAAAACCCAATAATAAAAAGAATCCTAGCACAGAGGAGATAACGGCGGAGAATGGTGGTGATGGTCACCTGGCAAAGGAGACAGCCCATCAAGAACATTTGCAAAATGGTTTTATCCCTGCCTCGGAAAGTAAAACTGTTACAGGTGACAACACAATATCCTGTAACAACACTGCCATGACCCCAAAGCCCCAAATATGCGAACAAAAACTGCAAACGACATCATTAACAGATGATAACAAATCCTCCAGTGCTATAAATGAAACAACATCATCATCATCATCTTCTTCGCCATCTGCTGTGCTAAATCCCACACCCGCCTTGGATTTATCTAATGTTCATATTGAATATAAAGAATATGAATCGGAATTACAAATGCATGTAAGGAATTTTTTTTCTTTAAATATGAATTATTTTTGAAAAATAATTGAAATGTTGTTGTTTTTTCTTATAGGACATAATGCGTTTAATCCAAGCGGAACTATCGGAACCCTATTCAATATACACTTATCGTTATTTCATATATAATTGGCCAAAATTATGTTTCCTAGCAGCCCATGGAAATGAATATGTTGGTGCTATTGTGTGCAAGCTGGACATGCACATGAATGTTAGGCGCGGCTATATTGCCATGTTGGCCGTACGCAAAGAATATAGGAAATTGAAAATTGGTACTACACTTGTGCAAAAGGCAATTGAGGTGGGTATAGATGAGATGATAAAAAGAACTATATCGCTAGACTCTCAAGGTCCTTCAAGGCGCGGATTTATTAAAAATCATTTTTCGGGGACACCCAAGGCGTGGATTTATTAAAAATCATTTTTTCGGGGACACCTAGTCGTGGGTTTATTAAAAATGATTTTTTCGGAGTTTTTTAAGGTGTCGATTTATTAGAAATTTTTTTTTCGTGATCATTTAAGGCGGGGATTTATTAAAAATTAAAAATCATTTTTTCGGGGACACCCAAGGCGTGGATTTATTAAAAATCATTTTTTCGGAGACACCCAAGACGTGGATTTATTAAAAATCATTTTTTCGGGGACACTCAAGGCGTGGATTTATTAGAAATCATTTTTTCGGCGACACCCAAGGCGTGGATTTATTAAAAATCTTTTTTCGGGGACACCCAAGACGTGGATTTATTAAAAATCATTTTTTCGGGGACACTCAAGGCGTGGATTTATTAGAAATCATTTTTTCGGGGACACCCAAGACGTGGATTTATTAAACATCATTTTTTCGGGGACACTCAAGGCGTGGATTTATTAGAAATCATTTTTTCGGCGACACCCAAGGCGTGGATTTATTGGAAATCATTTTTTCGGGAACACCCAAGGCGTGGATTTATTAAAAATATATTTTTTAGAAAATATTTTTTCAGGGACACCCAAGGCGTTGATGTATTAAAAATAATATTTTTTAGAAAATATTTTTTTCAGGGACACCCAAGGCGTTGATTTATTAAAAATATTTTTTTCGGGAACACCCAACATTTTAATTTTCTTTATTTATTAACATTATTTTTTTCTGTGTTTTCCAGGCCATGCTAGCCGATAATGCCGATGAAGTTGTTTTGGAAACTGAAATGAGTAATCTACCTGCTTTGCGTCTATATGAAAATTTGGGTTTTGTACGAGATAAACGACTATTTCGCTATTATCTAAACGGTGTTGATGCATTGCGTTTAAAATTGTGGTTTAGATGAGATTATTTATAGCAAAGGCAACAAAACAAAAACTGAACACAAAATAAGAATATAAATTAATATAAAATATTACATTATGTTTGTAAACTAACTAACAATTTTTTTTGCTAACCAATGCAATATCATCCGAACAAGATCAGCAAAGAAAAAAATCAACAACAACACCACCAATCAATAATAATGCGTAATAATAATAAAAAAACTATTGTACTTTATTTTTAAAGGACACCTCTTCATCTTTGTTTAAACTTGTTGAAACAAAATCAAACTGGAACAAAATAAAAGAAACAACAACAACAATACATATTATGTAGCACAAAACAAAAACCATAAATAAACAAAAAAAATCATTTAATTAGAAAATTTAAATACTTCCTAAAACTCTATCCTTTTATACAAAAAATAAAATCTTTATTTTAATTTTAATTTAATTATCTTTGTACAAACAAAAAAATAACAAGAAAATAGTTGCAAATTAATTTTTTAGTTGTAATTTTCCCCTTTTTTGAAAACTAAAAGCAATTGTTGAAACAAAACGGCCAAGCTGCAAAAAACCCCATATTTGTATTAATGTATGTATGTGTGTGTGCATGTTTTTCCTCCCAACTTTTGTAGTCTTCTAAATGTTGCTCGCTTTGTTTCCTTTTCTTTTTTCTTCCTTACCCAACCACAAAAGCCAAGTGTCTTAATGAAGCAAAACTTTTTCGATTTGTAATCTTGGTGGGTTTCTTTTCATGTAATTCTAACAACAACAAAAAAACTAAAATAAAAAATTGAACTTAACTGAAGGTTTGAGCTTCACTATTCAAAGCCTTAAAACTATAAAAAACCAACAACAATTACCATCCCTATATAGAATAAAACAATACAAACTAATATTAACTAATAAGAAATCCCCATATATAGCATTGTAGATCAACCAACACTTGTAAAAAAAGCGTATCATATTTTGTTTTAAAATTTTTATTCAAATTTTTCTTTTTTGGTGTAGCCTAAAATATTAAAAAAAAATTGAAGGCGAAAGCATTTACCGTAGTTGTCCTTTAACATTATTTTTTACCTTCATCTTGTCTATATTTTTAGGCTATACCAAAAAAAAAAACAAATTTAGTTTTGAGATTTTTTTGTGAAAAAAAATTAAATATTTGGAAAGAATATTGTTTTTGTTATAAAGAAAAAATAAAAATAAATAACAATTATGGTTAAATTTAATAATTATATTTAAGTTAATATGAGTTCTAATTATACAAAAAAAAAAAAAAAAAACAATTAAAAAAAATAAAAAACCTACTAATTTATATTTTCAAATCAAATGTAAATAAAGTTAAAAAAAACATACAGCAAGAACAAGTGAAAAATCCATATATATTCAAAACAAATACTAAGAAAATGGAGTTTTATTTTGAATTAGAATTTCCAAAAGTAAAACAAAATGAAGGCCTAAAAGTATGCTATACAAATGGGCATATGGGGATATATTCTATTTTGAGAAGTGTACCCGAAAAAATGATTTTTCATAAATCCACGCCTTGGGTGTCCCCGAAAAAATGATTTTTAATAAATCCACGCCTTGGGTGTCCCCGAAAAAATGATTTTTAATAAATCCACGCCTTGGGTGTCCCCGAAAAAATAATTTTTAATAAATCCACGCCTGGGAAGACCCCGAATTTATTATTTTTAATAAAATCCAAGCCTTGAAAGACCCCGAAAAAATTATTTTTGATAAATCTTTTTAAATATACAAAACCTCCTAAAAGTATGCTATGAAAATAAATGAAACCCAGTATTATTTTCAGATACGTCATTATTTCATCATTTATTTGTTTTATGTTTTTATTATTATTTTCCTTTTATACAAAACAATAACATTTAACAATAGTCTCATCTGTTGATTTCTAAGATTATTTTTTGGATTTGCATTTCTTGTGGCTCTCTTGGGTGAAATAACTTATAAATCTAAAAAACAAATAGGGGTTTTGTTTCTTATTATCTATAAAAAATAAGAATGAAAAAGGAAAACGAATAAAAATCCTTACGCACCAGGCGGCAGTAGGGGCAGAAGTGGGATTTAAAAACACATTAGGCTGTGTTCTCATTTTCATCTGCTGCGTTTGGAGGATTTATTAGAACCCGCCGAAGATGTCGAGGAGGATTTCGTTGATGACTGGACACCCGTTGTAGAATTTAGTCTCATTTGTTTTAAATCTTGCCGTACCGTCGATTTTATGCTCTCCACTTGATTTTTAACATGGCCATTTTTAAAAACCAAACCCGTTGCTGTGGCGGTATTATTTGTAGAGGCTTTTTGTTGATTAGCTGGGCTTTGGTTCGATGATTCCGAATTATCAAATAATTCACTAACTTCCAAAATGCGTGGCTTAAAGAACATATTTGGCCTTATGATATTCTTATCCGCTGTTTTAAATAAATTCAAAAGACCCCAGGGTTCTTGAGACTTATCCACTCCCGTGTGTTGATAATTTTCCACTTCCGATTCCAATACCCAGGCTGCATTTCGTACCTCTATCCTCAAGCGTTCACATTCCTCAAGGCTTACATTTTTACTAACATTTAGCAATTGTTCCAAGGGGTTGACAATATACAATGCCGAGTGATCGGGTTTGGAAACCGCTCTACCCTCATTCAACGATATGGCCTTATTTTGAAAATCAAATTGTGAATAGAATTCAAAAAATTGCAATAACAAATCACTGATTTTGTTGTTGTTTTTACTTGAAAACCCAATGGCCTCAAAGTTGCGGGCAAATGTACAATTTATACCGTCTTCGGTAATACGAACATCTTCGCTGGAGGCAGATTTTATGAGGTTATTAATTGAGGGTAGAATGGGCTGTTTGGTTTGCTGTAAAAAGAAGATAACCAAACAGGTTAGGGAGAAATTTGAAATCCATCGTCCTGGTGAGGGATTAGTTAGACCACATGATTGTGCCCATCGTCTGATGCAGAAGATTAGCGGGCGTACACGTTCATCAAATTCACCGAACATGAAGAGTAACTCGGACATATAGAAACCGGAGCTGGAAAGAAAGGGGGAAAAATTCAAAGTTCAGGTAAGTGAAAATCTTAAAAAAAAGTAAAAAACTGAAAAATAAAAAACTAAATATAATAAATACAAGCCTTGGGTGTCCCCGAAAAAAATCTTTTTAATAAATATACGCCTTGGATGTCCCCGAAAAAATTCTTTTTAATAAATATACGCCTTGGATGTCCCCGAAAAAATTCTTTTTAATAAATCCACGCCTTGGATGTCCCCGAAAAAATTCTTTTTAATAAATATACGCCTTGGGTGTCCCCAAAAAATATTTTTAATAAAACCACGCCTTGGGTGTCCCCGAAAAATTATTTTTTATAAATCCACGCCTTGGGTGTCCCTGAAAAAAATATTTTTAATAAATCCACGCCTTGGAAGACTCCCTTGGGTGTCATAAAAATTGTATTTTTAATAAATTCAGGCCTTCAGAGTAGTTGAAAAATATCGGAAATATAGATTAATTTCAAAACGGAAGTGATTCAGTCAGTGGTCATTAAGACAAGTGACTATATAAATAGTAACTTTTTTCTCTTGGCAATTTTAGAATATAGAACATTCCCCCTCCTCCCTCGAAAAATAAAAATGAGACCTTTTTATAAGATTTTACAAAATCCCTCATTTTTAATTTTTAAAATTCGGTAGGGGGAGGTGTTGGTTTTTTTAAAAAGAGACCTTTCCTTTGTTTTTGTAAATTGTTTGTAATTTAGCAATACCGTTTTTTTGTCTGTTATCTAATCTTAGAGCTCCACATATTCATATCTCGGTGCTTGTTATCTTATCATCGTAATGAAACGTAAAGCTTCATTGAATACCTGTGGACAAAAAAGAAACGATACACCACCCAAAACCATGTCATCATCAAAGTTATTATTATTTCAATCGGTGTACATTTGAACGAAAAAATTTACGAACTGCGAACGAACAAAAATAAAATAAGCGGATAGACGGTGGAATAGAAATCGAAATTTCTTTTTTTAAATAGACAAAAAAAAGGTGAAATATTGAAAAGAAATAAAAAAACAATAATAATAAAAAATAGAAAAGGAAATATATTAAAAAAGAAATATAAACAAATACGTATGGAAATATATGAAGAGAAATATTCAAACAATGTTGTGAAAAAAGTTATGAAATTATTACAAAACATTTAAGTCGATTTTTTAATTTAAAAAAAAAACTACAAGTGTGTTCCTTACAAAAAAGAAAAAAAATTATAATAATAAAGAAAAAATATGCAAAAAATGAATACAGAACTGCAGAACAATACCGCATAACTATTATTAAAAAATATTCATCAATATTAAAAACCCTGATAAAAAAACTTGAATAATTTATAGGTCATGAACAAAGCTTTAATAATGACTTGGAACAATCTATCGACATGAAAATCAATACATCCACTAAATATGCGGAACAATCCTACTGTACCTTTAAAAAATACCGAAAGAAAATTGCATTCAAAGTAGGGGTCTAATTGTGTATAAATTCCATAACCAATACCAAAAAAAAAAAAAAAAAAAAAAAAAAAAAAAATTTAAAGGCGCCTAAAAATATGTATTTTTTTGATTAATTTTTTGATCATTTTTCTTTTTGATTCTTTAATTTCTTCTTTTTAGTTTTGATAATTTATTCCCTAATCAATTACACACTTTTTTCTTGTAAAGAAAATTATGTGTTTTTTTTATCTAAAAACTACATTGAACAAAATATGTCTTGCACCACAATGTGTGTGCGTGTGTTAATCATCATCACCGCCATACAACAACAGGTTGTTCGGTCAACCCAAGGCGATAAGGTTTTTATTTGCTAAACGATTTGCTGATAAAAAAAATATAACCACAATATTTATGTACAGCTCCCCGCGCTCTTTGAAGTAGTTAACAAAATTTCAACAAATATGGATGTGGAAATGTGGATGAGTCAATGCCAATTCTTGTAATTGAAGGGGCAAAAGACATAAATAAATCAAAAAAGAAACAGAAAATATTCTGGGTTTATTTATTGTATTTCTGAATGAATCAGACAGGGAACTAAAGGGGGATGCCGTAAAATATTTCTAAAATTTAACTATATCGAATTAGGTAGTCATATTACATTGTCATATCACAATTGGTAAAATTAAAAAGGTGGACCTAGGACTAAAATTTATCGGCATTTCAAATTCGTGGGCTTACAGAGAATCCCGAATGGAAAATTAAGGAAAAATTGAATGCAAATTTATTGAAATAAATTTAAATTTAAAATTTTCAAATCCTTGTTGAACAATATGGAACCTGTTTCTGTAAGGGGTCCAAAAAATGTAGTCAGGAACAGATTCAAACGGATTATATACATATATGGGAGCTAGAGAAAAAAAATACTAAAAAATTCAAGCCTATTAGTCAAATACTGAGAAACAAAAATTGCTAAAAAAATTCAGGATTTTTCGTCGATTACTGCTAAATAAAATCTCCTAAAAAAATTCACGACTATATATCACGAATACTGGGCCATAAATTCCTAAAAAAATTACCACTATTGGTCGAATACTGGTATATAAAAATTCACGCCTATTGGTTAAATACTGGTAACTACAAATTCCTAAAAAATTCAGGACTATTGGTCGAATACTAGGCAATGAAAATTACAAAAAAATAGACATATTGGTCAAATACTGTGCCATAAAAAATCCTAAAAAAAATTACGACTATTGGTCGAATACTGGGCTATTAAAATTCTGACTGACTGGCCAAAACAGGGTCAATAAAAATTACAAAAAAAAAAAAACACAGGCCCATTGGCCAAAACAGGGCCATAAAAAATCCTAAAAAAATCGACAACTATTAGTCGAATTCTGGTCAATTAAATTTCCTAAACAAATTTAAGACTATTCATCAAATACTGGTAAATAAAAATTCTTAACAAAGCCCACATCTGATGGATAAAATACTGGTCAATAAAACTGGTTTAAAATATCCACGCCCAACGGTCAAATACTGGGCCATACAAATTCCTAAAAAATATCACGTCTATTAATCGAATAGTGGTCAATACAAAATCCTAAAAAAATCAGGATTATTTTTGAAATACTGGACCATACATATTCTTATAAAAATTAAGAATACTGGTAAATAAGAATTCCTTCAAAATGCAATCCTATTGGCCGAATACTGTGCAAGGAAAATTCTTTAAAAAAATCACGACTATTGATCGAATGCTGATCAATTCCTGACAAATAAGGCCTATTGGTCCATAAAATGTCTAAAAAAATCACAACTCTTGATCGATTTATGGTCTACAAAAATTCTTTAAAAACACACACCTTTTTATCGAATAATGCTCTATAAAAATTCTTTAAAAAATCTCCCAAAAATCACGATTACTGGTAAATAAAAAAATTCTTAAATATCAATCCTGTTGGCCGAAAAAAAATTACGACTATCTTAAAAAAAATCACGACTATCAATGAAAATTCCTAAAAATTCATGCGCTAAAAAATCCGCGCTATTGATTTTTTCTTTTACATTATTTAAGCTAAAAAAATTCAAAAAATTTTTTAATAATAAATTTAATAATCATTCATTTTTGCTATTCTCCTTTCAGTCAACTACCTTATAACCTTTTTGTAACATCATCTACCCCCCAAAATGGCAGCAACGGAAAATACGCTGGAAAAACAAATTGGCTGTGTGAAATACACCCTTTTCTGTTTCAACATTGTCGCCTGGATGTTGGCAACATCATTGTTTGCCCTAACCGTTTGGTTGAGAGCTGAACCCGGTTTCAATGAATGGTTAAAAATTCTCCAAGCTGAATCATTCTACATCGGCGTCTACATTCTCATCGCCATCAGTATCATTATGATGGCAGTTAGCTTTTTGGGTTGCCTTTCCGCACTAATGGAAAACACATTGGCCCTATTCGTTTTTATTGGTACACAAATATTTGGTTTTATAATTGCCATTGTCGGTTCGGCTCTCGTCATGCAATACAGTACAATGCATTCCAGTTTGCAACCAATTCTGCAAACTAGTTTGAGTAATTTTGTTAGTACCTCGGAGCAGCCCTACTCTTCGTATGTTTTGAATATGATTCAAGAAAATGTGGGCTGTTGTGGTGCCAGTGGTCCATGGGATTATTTGAATTTGAGACAGCCATTGCCTAGCTCATGTCGTGACACTGTCAGTGGTAATGCTTTCTTTAATGGTTGTGTCGATGAGTTGACCTGGTTCTTTGAGGCCAAGACATCGTGGATTGTGGCCATTGCTTTGGGATTGGGTATGCTGAATGTCATCAGTGCTGTTATGAGTTTGGTATTGATACAGGCCGTCAAAAAGGAGGAGGAAGAAGCCCAGAACTATAGACGTTAGGAGGAACTGTCTCTCTTTCTTTAGAAGTTTAAAATAAAAAATGCCGCACACCCACAAATTTCATAAAGATACCATGCAAATACGCAACCTGTTTTTAACACCCACTTATTATCATTTAAGTTAATATTTTTTATAAATATTTGCACTAAGTTTGAAAAATAAATATTTTGAATAAAAAAATTGAACAAAAAAATTTAAAAAATAAATAAAAAAAACGAAAAATTCTTCTCAGCAATGAGAAGAATAGAAAAATTGGACAAATTCTTTTCATTCAGAAAAAAATAGAGAGCACTGCTTTAATTGAAAATTTTTGGGATTACTATCCGAATAAAAATAAATTTGGATAGCCTATCAAATTACTTACAACCCAAGTCTTTATACTTTATGAGTATAAATAATTTAGCTTGGAACGCCATGAGACATGCGTCGGAGGCCCCACGAAGTATATCTGTGTTTTGTTCAGAATAAAATTCTATGTCGATTTTCCTATGTCCGCCTGCTGAAATCACGAATAGGCACCAATTTGGATTCTAATTAGGTAACCAATCTTCCGACAAAAATGTTACATGGCATAGCCCGTAATATATATCAAAAGTCCCGAACGATAACAATTGTTTTCAATGTCCACCTCATTTTCTTTCATTTCGTTTCAAAATAACCACTTTATCTCTATCCTCCTTAAAGTATGCAATACAAACAACTAATTTAATTTATAAAAAAAAAATCATTCATACTCACAGATTACTCATTGACAAATCTATCTCCAAATTTAAATGTTCATGATGATATTTTATAATGGGTACACGGGCCTGCAATATCCTTCGCACATGACAAACGCCAGGCAAAAATAAATGCAACATATCACCAATACTTTCCATTTGCCGCTGCGTTTGGGAACGGCCATTTGTTAAATTCTCTTTGGTGTGAAATACCAAACGTGATTCGGGACGTTTTTTCGTATCCGGACCCTTACATTCTTCATCAAGTCGCAGAATCAAATCTAAATCACAACCATTTTTACCAAAACCATTTACCGATGAACCAAATGGTAGGGCCCTTGCCAAAGGGAACATTCCAGAGATGGCCTGCTGCACTTGTGAGGCAGCCAAGAAACGTAGACGTATACCCAAATCATTTAATTTGGTATTTTCATAGAGTAGAGATATTTGTTTTTCGATATCTTCGGCTTCTTTGAGCACGGCCACTAAGGCTTCTTGGTCCATTATGCGAATGCCATCCAGGGCGGCCAGTTGGGTTTTACTTCCCGACACTGTGTCACGTTGTACTGTCTTACGTCCGGTGGCCCGAAACCACAGAAATGGGGAACGCACTGGCACACCGGTGAGGTCTTCATTATATGCCGCTGAATCTATGGCCTCGGAGGCTTGTTGGGCATTTTCATATTCCAGCAGGATATAATGCTGCACATCATCATGCCTAACACAATAATGAAAGGCTGCTGTTATGTTGCCATAATCTCGACAATAGTTGTATAACTCTGGAAATGATCGTTCCGAACTGACTTGTACTATGACACTGCGTGTTGCCTCCTCTTGGCGTTTGTGTATGAAATCCTCAAAAGAGTGGCTGGAAACTGTAAGGGAAATCAGGAGATGTTATTGTTGTTTCTTTTGTGGAGAAATGTAAAAACATGGAACTTACATTTGGATCCCGCCGTTACATTCTTGCTACAGAAATATCTGACACTAGGAACTGTTGGCTTTAGATTGTAACAACGTCTAACAGCACTTAACATTATTTATTATTGTATTTGATTATAAATTTAATTAAACAATTTGTTATTTTATAAAATAAGCTGAGTTTTCTGTGTTAAACAACAATTGCCCCACAATCCCCCAAACAAGACCAAGACTGCATAAAGTGAGGTTAAACAGCTGGTAGATAGGAAACACTAGTTGATATTCTTCTTCTTCCTTCGTTTCATTGATGTAATCAAGTGAAGTGATAACACAACGACACTTACCTTATAACAGATGGCAATTGCTATCTCTCTTGGTGAGAGAGTTATTTGAGAGTTAATGACAACTCCATATCTCCCTCAATCTCTCCTCTCTCCCTTCTACCCATAGAGAATTGCTCTAAGAAGAGTTGTGTCAACAAACAATGTAACGATTAAGAGAGCTGTCATATTAGCATACTTTTAGGCGCCAACATTGATGGCCGGCAAACGTTTTGCTATCAGTATATAATGAATGCCAAATAAGAAGCAGTATTTGTTGTTATCGGTCATTTTGTCTTCTCCTGCCATTCGTTAGCAGGTGGAACGTTTTTCAATTTGTCTTCAGTCGACTGAAGACACGTGAAGTGTGAGTTTTGTTTTCATCTTGAAGATTTGTTGAATTGCAGTGAAGAAATTGAAGAAATTAAAAAAATTATGGCAAAAGATAAAAAGAAAGTAAAGACAAAACCTGATAAACCACAGCAGAATGGTGTGGAAAAGCCAACGGCAGCATCCGGTAACAGCAACATTTGGCAAGATGAACGTTTCCAGCATTTGGTTTCGGATCCTCGTTTCAAAAATCTACCCAAGGTCCAGAGGAAGGTAAAAATTGATAAACGGTTCCAGGGCATGTTCACCAATGAGAAATTCAAAGTGAAATATACTGTGGACAAATATGGCAGGAGGGTTAACAAAAGCAATGCCGATGATTTGAGGAAATATTATGAATTGAATTCTAGTGATGAGGAGGAGGAAGAAAAGGAAGATAAGGCGGAGAGTGAAGCTGACGGGGAACCAGAAAAATCTTCTGACTCCGAAGAAGAAGATTCTGAGGCAGAAAGAGAAAAAGAAGAGAAGGCCATTATTCAAGAAAGTGATGTGGATGAAAATGATGCCCTAACCAGCGATGATGAAGAGGTACCAAAATCACTGAGGCAACGTCTCTTAGATCCCAATATTGATTATGCCAGAGGTGAAGGGCGTTTGATAACAGACTCCTCCTCAGATGATGAAAGTTCGGAAGATGAGGAGGACCCGGAAATGTATATTGATCATGTCTGGGGAGAGCTGGATAATGATGCTGATACCACAGATGAATCCACGCGACGTTTGGCCGTCTGCAATATGGATTGGGATCGTGTAAGGGCTGTGGATTTAATGGTCCTCTTCAATTCCTTTTTGCCACGTGGTGGTTCGATTTTGAGCATTAAAATATATCCCTCGCAATTTGGTAAAGAACGTATGAAGGAGGAGGAGCTGCATGGTCCACCGGAATTGGTGGGTTTGGATAAGGATTCGAGGAAACAGCAACAAAAGGAGGTGAGTGGAAGAAAATATTGAATTAAGACATAATTCAAGTTGATCCCTGGCCGGTTCCGAAACTTTCTTATTTCCTTTTACTAATTGTTTTATTTCCATTTCTGTCCGACAAACCCAAAAAGAAGAAGAAATCCTCAGCCAGTGATGATGAAGATGACGATGATTTGGTAGTGGCCCAAGACAGTGATGCCGAGGAAGGTGATGAATATCACATGGAAAAGTTGCGTCAATATCAGCTAAATCGTCTGCGTTACTACTATGCCGTTGTGGAACTGGATAGCATAGAGACGGCAGATAAAATCTACAAGGAATGTGATGGCATTGAATATGAAAGTTCGGCCACAAAAGTTGATTTACGTTATATACCCGATGACACCACATTCGATGAAGATGAACCCACAGATGTGTGTACAGAAATGCCTGACATGAATACCTATCAACCCAGGCAATTTACCACGACTGCCCTGCAGCAGGCCAAAGTGGATTTGACATGGGATGAAACTGCTGTGGATCGTAAGGAGTTGGGTGACAAATTGTCTTCGGGGAAACTAGAGGGCATTTCCGATCAAGATTTAAGGAAAATTGTGGCATATAGCAGTGAAGAGGAGGAAGAAGAAGATGATGAGGAAGAGGATAATGAAGATGCTGAAGTAAAACAAAATGAAACAGCCGTGAAAGAAGAAAAACCCGACGAGAAAACGAAAAAACGCAAATCCAAGAAAAAAGAAGAAGTCATCAACAAATACAAAGCCCTGCTGGCCGAAATCAATGAAAAAGAACAAAAGGAAAAAGAGAAAAAGAATTATGCCATGGAATTCACCTGGGAGGTAAATGAGGGTAATGAAAACGCAGATGACAAGGATAAAAAAGAAACATTTGAGGGCAAACCAAAATCAGAGCTGACACCCATTGAAAAAGTGCTCCTGAAACGCAGTGAAAAGAATAAACGCCGCAAAGAAGAACGTAAGAAAAAGAAATTGCAAGCTGCTGGGGTGGATTCCGAATCCGATTTGGATTCTTTACCCGAAGGCATTGATATGAGTGATCCTTACTTTGCTGAAGAATTTGCCAATGGTGATTTCATCGATCCCAAGGCCAAGCGTAAAGAAAAACAAAAGAAACAACGTCAACTCAAGGCTGAACAGGAAGAAGAAGATGAGAAAAATGCCAAGGAATTGGAGTTGCTGTTGGATGATAATGAAGAGGACCACAAGAAGCAACATTTCAGTTTGGAAAAGATTTTGAAACAGGAACAAGAAACCAAATCAAAGAAGAAAAGGAAAAAGCAATTGAAGAAGTCTAAGGCGGATATTGAGGAATCAAATAAACCCATTGAAGATAATTTCAAATTGAATATCGATGATGATCGTTTTAAGGCCGTTTTTACATCGCATGAATTTAATATTGATCCCACAGATCCTCATTTTAAGAAAACTAAGGCTATGGAACAATTGATCCATGAGAAAATTAAGAGGAGACATCAGGATGAGGATGCAGGCAAATCAAATGGTGCTGCTAAAGATGAAAACGAGGGACCTGATCCGGCCAAGAAACCCAAGAAGAATATTGAGAATATTATGTTGGTTAAAAATTTGAAACGAAAAATTCAAATGAAGCAGCAACAACAGGGTAGATAAGAAAGACCTATGTTTTTAAAATAAAATATTTTTGTGTAAATATTTATAATTTTTGTTAGTTTTTAGTAGGATTTCGAAAAAATTAAACAAAATTGTTAGAAAATAATAAAACTGTGTTTTATAAAAAGATGTTTTTTTCTGGATTCACACTGTGGTACAGGGTATTGTCTTTGTGCATATGTTTGTAACATGCAAAAGAAAGAATATGCATTGAATCGTTTTCTAAGTCGATTTATACATGTCCGATTTCGATTGAGATATATCTCCCATATATAATTTCGTCCGAGTTAATGTAAATTGTGTAGCAAAATCCCCATATATCTTTCCATTTGCACGAAATGTGGCATAGCGTATTGAATAAAGTCTAGAATTATGTGTGATAAGTTTCGGATCAGGATCATTTTTTTATTGAGAGAGTTCATTCTCTATCTTCCTCTCTTCTCTCTTTTTAACGTGTAAATTTTAAGGTATAAATTTACCCCCACTATCCTTGATTTCTTATGGCAATGAGAGAGCTCATCTAACCCTTATGCTTATTCTCTCTCTCTGGCTCTCGCGCGCTATTATTATGAAATCTGAAACCACTTATGCCCTTGCAGTGGTAATTCCATCCCATTGTTCTTTGTTGTTGTATTTATTTTCAAACTAAACACGATAAGACTGGCTTCAGTTTGACTTGTGCTTAGCTGAGAATAAGACGCAAATAAAGAGGAGATACTAACAAAATAAACAAATGGATATGCTGATAAAACTAATATTTCTGTTGTTGTTGATCAAAAATCTGCCTGGCGGCGAGACAAAAGTGTCCTGTAAAGATGAACAGGGTAAGGATGTTGACTGGTGAGTATGGAAAAAAATTAAAAACAAAATTTAATTATTTCTAATATCCCTTTGCTCCTTCTGCTTCCAGGTTTTATTTATACAAACTACCCATGCATTATGCTGCCAAAAATTCCACACGAGCTCAAGATAATTCTGGTCTACATTATCTATATCTAACCAGTAAATCGTATGACAAATGGACTCTATCCGAAAAAGAAATAAATGAGTCAACCTCTATAACGGGCTTGACCCTGGAACCTTTGTTCAACAATAAATCCTTGCTTTTACTGGCATACAATGATGAATATCCCAATGGTACAGTTATTTTTGCGGGTGGCCATGCCAAAGGTGTGGTGGCCACAGATGGTGTTACAGGTCTGTGGTTAATCCATTCCGTACCCAAATTTCCCAATACCACACACTATGAATATCCCTCAACGGGTTCACATTATGGACAAAGTTTCCTGTGTATCACATTGGCAGCTACAGAAATGGAAAAAGTTGCCGAACAGCTGCTGTTCAATGAACCCAATATTTATGATCACAATATACCCAATGAATTGCATGAAAAATTCCCCACTTTCGAAAAAGTTCTCAAAAAAGATTGGATTAAAACCGCACCTTTCAATAATGTTCTCAATCTCATCTCCCTGGAAGGTTCGACATTCAAATCCTTTGCCAAATCCAGCAAATTCAATCAAGAATTATATGCAGATTTTGTGGCCCCTACTTTGGACACCAATCTCTTGGTGGAAACATGGCGTAATGGTGCCGGTAATTTAGATTCAAATTGTTCACGCAACGATAAGGTTTATAATATCAAAAGGATCGAAGAGGAGGCCTTTGGTTTGGATTTTAAAACTACGCAGGATCATTCCAAATGGGCTGTGTCACAAAGTGTGGGTTTGAAATTTTGGCGTTGGCGTTTAGGTAGTTCTTCCAGAAATTGGATTTGTGTGGGTGATATAAATCGCCAGCAACATCAGCTGGTTAGGGGTGGCGGAGTCCTCTGTCAACAAAATTCGAAAATAAGTAAGCTATATCGTAAGTTTGTCAAGGAGTATGAATCGTGTTCGAAGAAATGTAAATAAAATGGAATTAAAATATATAAATAATTTATTGTGTTTTTTTACTTTATTCATAAATCCAAGCATTGAAAAAAATACATATTTCTAATAAGACTCATTCACTCCTTCGAAGTCACCGAAAAAACATTTTTAACAAATCCACGACTTCAAAGTTTCCAAAAAACATTTTTAATAAATCCACGGCTTCGAAGTAACCGAAAAACATTTTTTTTAACCCACTCTTTCAAAGTCCTCTCAAATAAAAATATTTTTTACAATTATAAGTCTCAGAAAAAAATTATTTTTTTATAAATCCACGCCTTGGGAGTTACCGAAAAATTTATTTTTCAGAAATCAAAGCCTTCGTATTCAACAAAAATTATTAAAAAAATAGTCGATATTTTAAATATCTATGAACTTTCACATAATGGTAATTTTTACCTATATAACGTTAGTTTCCGTAATTATTGTCCATATGGAATAAAACTTTACAATTCCCTTTAATCAATGGTGCAAGATTCATGAAAATCGGTAAAGTAGTCGCTGAGTTATTTGCATTTGAATTCAACCGTGTTCCGAAATACACTCTACTGTTCGATGCTGGGCGCCTATTACACGAAAATGAAAAATCACACAAAAATGGGTTTTGTAAAAAAGGCAAATTTTCTTCATTCATGGCTGCTGGTTTGTAAACAAAATTATAGCATACTTTTAGGGTAAGAACGGTATGTGATGTAGTGTGATTTTTTAAATTGATAGGTAAATTCAAATGCAAAGTATTCAGCAACTACTTAACCGATTTTCATAAATTTTGCAACCATGTTTAGAGGAAATTCTGAACTTTTATTCCATATTGACAATACATATATATACTTATGTTATACTAGGGAATACTGGCATTATGTAGAAAGATATTTAAAATATCGAAAAGTTTTGTGTTAAATGTAAACCTGAAAAAATCATTTTTAATAAAATATTTATAATAAATCCACACCTTCCTTAAATCCACGTCCTGAAGGTCCCCAAAATTACTATTTATAATAAATCCATTCCCTTTGAAGTCCCTGAAAAAATATTTTTAATAAATTCAAGTCGTTGAAGTGCGCCTTGTCCCCGAAAAAATGATTTTTAATAAATCCATGCCTTCGAAGTCCCCGAAAAAATGATTTTTAATAAATCCATGCCTTCGAAGTCCCCGAAAAAATGATTTTTAATAAATCCACGCCTTGGGTGTCCCCGAAAAAAAATATTTTTAATAAATCCAAGCCTTGGGTGTCCCCGAAAAAATGATTTTTAAAAAATCCACGCTTTCGAAGTGTCAGAAAAAATTATTTTTAATAAATCAACCCCTTTGAAGTCCCCAAAAAATCATTTTTAATCATTTTTTTATTTTTCACTTTATTTTATTGTGTGTTTCGTTTTATCGTTTATTTTTTGTTTTGTTTGTTGTAATAATTTTTATTATATAATTACTAATATGTGTTTATATTATTATTATATTTATAAGATATATTTATATATAGTTCATATACTTAATGCTAACATTTACAAATTTATTTTTTTAATTTGCTGTTAGTTTTGGGGATTGGTTGGCTTAATAGTTTTTTTCTAGTAGATAAATTTTCATAATAGTATTGAGTTAATTGTTTTTCTTTCTTTTATGCAAAAACAGAACAGCAAACAGTGAAGAAGAAATACATACATACAAACAGTTTTGTTTTTAAATTCCATTATTTTTCTTTCGTTTTTTTTTTTTAATTTAAAAACTACAATTAAGTGTTATTAATACAAAAGTGTGGGTGTGTTTGGGTGAGGTTAAGATAAATATTTTTTAATTTTCTTTTTTTAAATAATTTTGGTTTAATGCTTTTTTGTTGTATTATAGAGAATTTGTATAATTATTTTTTAAATATATAAAACAAATGTGTTTTTAAATTCTCTTTTCAATAAATTGTGTTTTAGATTTGTTTTTGTCTTAAAATTAAATTAATAACCTATATTTGAATACAAAAATTGTTGTTTGTTTTAATTTGCATAATTACAAATAAATTTCTTTTTTTCCTCCTCTTACTTTCAATTATCTTTCTTTTTATACAATCATTTAACAAAATGTATTATTTAAATAACAAATTTTTTTTTTCCTTAGCTTAACCTAAATATTTAACCTAATTTTCACTGTCTTCGTACGGTACGTTCTCGACTTTCTTCTCGATGTACCCCATGTCTTGGGGGAGATGTACTACCATTGCTTAGGCGAGTCTTACGTGATCTCTTGAACTTCGCCATATCTTCACCGAAAACATCACCGGTCCTCAAGGCTGAAATGAGGTCATCAAATTCCCCTTTGTTATCTCCCTTGGCGGGGCTTGTGGGTCCATTGGATGATTTCAAACCCAAATTTCGCGCCACCGAAGACATCAGGCCCTCCTTGTTTTTACGTTCAATGGTACGCTTCTTCAACTCAGCATCCTGCTTGGCACGTTTCTCTTCCTCTTCCTGGCGTTTACGCAAATTATCATTATCGGCCTTAGCCTCAGCAAATGATGTTAGGAAAGCATCAAAAATGCCAAAGAATTCATCCGGCTGCAACACAGAACCATCTTCACCGAATAGACGTACAGCACGATCGAAACGTGTCTTCATATCTTGGAATTTATCTTCCAATTCAGCGAAACGTACCGAAGCTTGGGCATGGAATTCACGCATAACGGGTAAGAAACGATCACCCTGTTGGGCAGGGCCCGATGAACGATGGAATTCAATTTCACGGGCAACATCGGCCAAGCCGGTGCGAAGCATTTGTATATCTTTGTCCATTTCTCCCAACGAGACTTTGGAAGCTTCACGTACATGTGGTATATCTTCTTCGAGTTTGAGTAGATCACGGAATTTCTTATCGATAACCTGAACCAAAAAGTGTAGTAGAGTTGTGCCCTTGGCAGCACTGGATTTGGTATCGGCTAAGCGGTTCAGTGAGGCCAAACGGAAACCGGAAGCATTGCCACGAGCTCCACGATTCATGTAGTTGCCTGGAAGGGATAGAAATTGGGAAAGAAATTAGTAAAAAAATCCCAAAAATAATTTTTAGCAAAACCAAGCCTTGGATGTCGCCGAAAAAAATATTTTTCCAAGCCTTCGAAGTCCCCGAGAAAATAAGTTATTTTTAATAAATCCACACCTTCGTTGTCTCCGAAAAAAGATTTTTAATATATCCATGATTTTTAATATATCCATGATTTTTAATATATCCATGATTTTTAATATAAATCCACGCCTTGGGTGTCCCCGAAAAATGATTTTTAATACATCCACGCCTTGGGTGTCCCCGAAAAAATGATTTTTAATAAAACCACGCCTTGGAAGACCCCGAAAAAAGGATTTTTAGTAAACCCACGCCTTGGATGTCCCCGAAAAGCTTATTTTTAATAAATCCACGCCGAAAAATCATTTTTAATAAATCCAGGCCTTCAAAGTGTCCCCGAACAATACTTTTAATAAATCCACGCCTTCAAAGTGTCCAAAATAGTTGTTTATGTTTTTTTCTTTCCTTACCCAAAGCTAGAACCAATTCCAGTAATTTTCTCAGACGCCTTGACCTTGCCACCTCCCTGGAAGCCTCCATGACACTGGTAATGCGTGGTATTAAATCGTTTACGGTAATCATGAAACGTTTCTTGTAGTGTAAGCTCTTCAAGCGCTGTTCGTAATGGGGAATTCTGGAAGTAAAAAAAAATTGAAAATATTTAGTATCGGATAGAAAGAGATTTTTTCAAAGCCAATATTTTTTTAATTTTATTTTATTAAAAAAAAAAACTTACTTGGATATTTCATAAAGGAAACGATCGGCCCTGGCCAATGAATCAATATCTTCACTGTGCTCATCCAATAAGGCCCGCTCCTCCGCTGAGGGTGTAAACTTCAATAATTGCTCAACCATATCTAAGGCTAATTGTTCATTGCAATCCATGGATAGAATTGCTCTGGGGAAGGGGGAAAGATAAAGAAATAACATTTATTAGAATTTTTAAAATTAAAAATTAAATTAAGGGACTTCAAAGGAACTTCTCTATAACTGAACCGACGTAATAGGAAAAGAAGATCATTTTCTCTGAGAAGTTCCACTTGAGTTTTTATTAAAAAACTTCGTCATAGAGAAATATTCTTTGTAGTTAAATCCATTAGAAGTTCGTTGGAATTTTCCCTTGCAACTTACTTGGAGATTTCTTCATCGGTCATTTTTAATTTACTTAAGAGTATGGTACAATTTTGTGCCCGCCGGCCATCAATAACAGATAATATCTTATTACGTGGTTTACTGCCCATTAGGCGCAAGTCTTCAATGGAGCCATCGGGAACGGTCTGGAAAAGAGGAAACCAAAGATCCAAATTAGAAATATTGAAAAGTAGAAGAAACTAAATGATAAAGGCCTTAAAAGCTTGAAGTCTCTACACAGTCCAAGCGATCTTTATATTAATCTCAGGTCTCCATACAGATCAAATTGTCTTTTTAAAGATCTAAGGTTTTTATTCACACCAAATTATCTCTACATACGCCTGAGGGCTTTATACAGACCAAAGGCACTTTAGAAAGAACGGAGGTCCATTTAAACACCAATGGTTTTATATAGCCCATTATTTTTACTTTTATAAATAAATTTCAATTTATTTTTGGATCCAAAACTTACCGCAACACCATTCTTTTGATAGGCTGAGAATAATTTATCGATTGCCTCCAATTCGATATTGTTATACCATTTCGACTCATCCAATTCACTCCAAACGGTACCTTGGACCTTGGCATCGGGCAATTTCGACCAGTTGAAGCTCTTCAAGGGATTTGTGGGCTGTGGCACGTTCTTTTTGGGTACTTCAGTTTTGGGTGCAGGTGGGGCTGGAGAGAAATAATAAGACAACATTTAATATTTTATAAATAAGTTAGGTTATGTTGCAAAAAATTGTGAACGAAAAGAAAAGTGAGGTTATGTAAATTCCTTTCATTCGAATAGACTACAATGTAAAAATAAAAAGCAACTCTTTAATTCTCTATTCCTTGCCGAGTGCCAGGGTGTGATGATACATTTTTTCTTCGTAGCCTCATTTTTTTTTTAAATATCTTATCCTTACCCATTGCTGGTGTCATAACCGGTGGTGGTGGTGGCCCAGGGCAAGGTGGTGGCGGTGGTCCTGCCGGTGGTGGTGGTGGCGGTGGAGCTGCCATCATTGGTGGTGGTGGTGGAGGTACAATCTTAACAGGCTCCTGTGATGCGTTGCAACCAGTTAATCCCGCCACCTTCTGGTCATCAGGTATACTACCCTCTGTGACTAAACGTTCCAGCCTTGCTCTTTCCTGCTGCTCGGTCATCAATTTATGTTGTAAATCTTCCAATTTCATTTCAGCTGTTTGTGCTCTTTGCACAGCCTGTGAATGATTGGCGGATTCCTTTTCCAAACGTTCACGCATACGTGCCAAACTTGTTTCGAGATCTTCTTTTTCTTGCATACGTAAATCTAGCTCTTGTTCTTTTTTCGCCAAACGTGATTGAATATCGAAATTTTCTTTTTCCAATTCATCGGCACGTTTGCGTGCTTGGGTTAATTCTTCTTCTTTTACCAATAAGTGAACTAATTTGGAGACATTTATTTCCAAAGGTGCCACATCGGGATCGTGTACTGGGGAAATGGGCACTTTTTCTTTGTTCGGATCATCGGAATCGATGTCACTGCGTGGTCTACCCTCGGTTTGTAGGACAATTTGTTGTACCACACGATCGAATAATAACCAATGTTGGGTACAGTGACCGGTGTCTGTAAGAAGGAGAGAGAATTTTTATTATAAATAACAACGAATTTGAGAAGTGTGGTGGAGGAGGGGAGGGCGTCTACTTACAGGGCAGCAATAGCATATGCTGCAGCAAAGAAATCAAATGTGGATAGGCTGGCGAATGACTTAGTTTACGTCTCAAAAAGTCAAACATGGTGGTGGCACTTTTCGTATCCACATGTTCATGCTCGAATTTGCGTGCCAATTCTTTTTCATCTTCGGCTCGAACCATTTCGAAGAAGTCCTAGAAAGGGAATGATAAAAAATTATGAAATTGTACTTAAATGAATGTATTCCGGGTTCCTAAGACCAAATTGTTAGTGAATTTTTTAATGGTAAATATTATTCCTAGCGATTTTATGTGTTCGGGGACCTATAGTGAAATTTTATGGGGAATATTTTTCCATTGGCACCAACCCCCTAAAAGGGATTATTATGGGAAAAATTTTGTAAAAATTAGAATATGGTTGAAATTGATTCATTAGGTTTAAACTTTTGTTTTCCCATTTTGTTTCCTAATATTTTGGGTGCATATGTTAAAGCCACAGGTATCTTTTGTTCGGTGGCCCCTAGTGAAATTTTATGGAGAACATTTTTTCCATTGATACTACCCCCCTAAAACGTAGTATTATGGGGCAATTTGTTAAAAATTTAAAATTGAACGAAATTGGCCTAATTAACTATTATTTCGTTTCCTTCACATTTTGTTTGCTATTGTTTTGAGCATATGTATTAAAATTTGAGATTTCTATGTTCAGTGACCCTTAGTGAAATTTTATGGAGAACAATTTTTCAATTGACACTATTCCTCTAAAATGATGTTTTGGTCAGAATTCTGAGCGAATCCAAAAATTATCGAAATTATCCCCAACTTATTTATTTCCTTTATTTTACATTTAGTTTGCTATTATTTTGCGCATATGTATTAACATTACAGATTTCTTTTGCTCAGGGACCTCTAGTGAAATTTAGTGCAGATTACTTTTCCCATTGATACCACCCCTCTAAAATGTAGTCTTATGGGGAAAATGCGTAAAAATAGGAAAATCGTCGAAAATTTGCCCAATTTCGATTAAATTATTTAATTTCCCATTTGATTGCTAATATTTTGGGTGTATGTGTTTGATCTAGAGTTTTCATTTATTCGGTGACCTACAGTGAAATTTTATACAGAATATTTTTTCCCTTGACACCATCCCGCTAAAAGGCAATACAGTGGGTCTATAGGTATCAAATAGAAAATTATACCAAATATAAGGTTTTTAATATATCCGATTTGCTGAGGGTATTTTGTTACTATATACTATATTTTCTGGATCCCGGAACTTATATTGAAATTAGTAGATTGTTTTTTTTTTTTTGAACTTACCAAATGCCGATCCAGCGTCTCATTCTCATGCTTCCTCAGCTTATCGATAATGGGTTGAATGCCCAACATTAAGAATTCATAACGCAAATGTAGACGGAAATCTAGATTCTCCTGACCGGGACCATAATTCAGCACGGCATTAATGAAGGACATAATGGCCGTTTTCAAATTAACATCATCTCTATAGGCTCCTGTGGAACGATCCAAATCATTTACAATACTTTGGAAACGGGTTCGTTCGGCAGCAAATTCTTGGAAATTTAACATGGCCTGCAAGACCTTGCGGTGACCACCGGGCACGAGACAGACGGCACCCAAAATTTCCAAGGCTGCTACTTTGGTTTTGATATTATCCGCCGCCAGCGAACGAGCAATCGTATCAATGGAGGTGGGATGGGCCAAGACATGGGCACGGCCGGTCTGTAAAGGAAAGAAGGATCAAAATAATAGGGTTTCCTAAGAGAGAATTTATCTAGACTTACCGAATTATTCATCAAGGCCTTGATACACCCAATGAGACTAGTATGAAAAGGACTGTTCGCCACACGTATATCCATTTTCTGCAATAAATTCAGCAGAGCTGGCAAACCCTCAAACTCGACAAATCGTAGCACAAAACTGTGCGTAGATGTCCTCAGGGCGGTCTTGAGGGCATCCAGGAAATGTGTATGGCTTTCAATGCGAGCATTATACTCATGGCACGGGGAATCTTCGGGACTAATCGATATGTGCAAAGCCAAATCCTTGAGACGTTCCACATAATTTTCAGCCGTCGGCGGTTGGGTTATATTACTCGAGGCACCATTACCATCAATGGTATCGAGTGGGGATTTTCGTGAGCAATAAATTTGCCATTTCTTTTGGGGAGGCAAACTTAGCATTGCCTCTTTGTTGGGTGCTGTCAAGTCCAATTCCTCGACCAATTCGGCAAATTTGGTGTCCAACTCGTCAACGGAGGGCATTGGTTGTGTGGGTGTTAGGGTCTGTAGGGTGAAAGCACCCTCAACCACACAAATCTCTGGTGGTTCATCGTCCTGGAAATAAAAAGGGAAGGGATTAAAAATTAGTATTTTTTTAATTTTTTTTTATTTAAAAATTTTTTGTTGTTGTATTAGTTTGGGTGTTACCAATTCTTATCACGGTAATTGGCATTTTATTAGTGGAGCATAACCAATTAATGTTGTTTTGCAAAACTTTTTTACAACAACGTCCAACAACAAAATTGTCGGCTAGTAAAACAAAGTGATTGTAACTTTGGGGGCTGGTTTAAAAGTTTTGACTTGAAATGCAGTTTTTTTATTTTAATTTTTTTTTTTATGAACAGCTGACCAAAGGCAATATGCTAGCTAAGCAAGAAATAAATCCGGAATGGAGAACTTAGCTAGCTGTTCAAAATCACCCTCCTTGCCATAACTGTCCCTAATAAACACCACTAAATTTATCAACAAAGTTTTGAAAAAAAAAAATATTTTGCTTTGTTAGCGTCTTATCAAGATTTTGTTGTCGAAAGTAAAACAACAACAAACTGTAAATCGCAATAACAACAAATATGCAAAAAGTACATTTTTTAAACAGTTATTTGCAACTACTATCTAGGAAACAATGTACAGTTGTGTGTATGTCTGTATGTGTGTTGTAAATATGTTCCATGTTTCGGTGCTCTAAATATTTCATAAAAGGGGGATCGATTTCAACATCAATTGCGGTTTTTCGGATTTTTTTTGTTAAGACACCTTTTTTTACTTAAATTAACAATTTTGAAATAAAAAAAGAAATGAGGAATGGAATTTATTAGTAATAATATAATATTGTGACTTAACACGAAATCACAAAGGAACGGGAAAATATTTAATGAAGAAAAAGTTGTGCTTCAGAGGAAAGACCCTATGTCTTTGGATTTAATTTCCACCGATAAATATTGGAATTAGAGGTTTTTATTGTTCGGGGACCTGTATTGAAATTCGATGAGGAATATTTTTCTTCTTAAAGGCATTTTTCTAAAATCAAGATTTTTGGAAGAAATTGACAACTCTTCAAAAACGTAGCAAATTAAGCCAAAAAGTCATTTATTTTTTATACCAATTTTATTACTGAAATTTTAAGGGAAAATGTGGTTCCTACCAATTTCTTTTCTTCGGAAACCCATAGTGAAATTTAATGCGGAATCTATTCCTCTTTAATATCTTTCCTCTAAAATCAAGAATTTCGGGAGAAATTGGCAACTCTTGGAAAAATAATTTAATTAAACCTTAAATTCTTATCTATTTTAGATATCGATTTGAATGCAGAAAATTTCAGGGTAAAAATTATTCCTAACGATTAATATTGTTTCGAGACTCATAGTAGAATTCGACGAAGAATATTTTCTTTCTTAGTGTCAACCACCTAAAGTTCAGAATTATGGGAGAAATTGGCAACTCTTCATAGAGAAGAAAATTTAGTCAAGTAATAATATCTTGTTTTATATACCAATTTTGTTATGGAAGTTTTTAGGGAAAAAGTGACTCCTACCGATTTCTTTTGTTCAGTGATTCATAGTGAAAGTCGATGGGGAATATATTCCCCTTTAATGGTTTTTCTCCAAAATCAAGAATTTTGGGGAAATTGGCAACTTCTGAAAAAATAATTTAATCAAGCCTTAAATTCCATTATATTTTATATATCGATTTCATTCAGAGAAATTCATGGCAATTATTATATCTAGCGATTTCTTTTGTTCGGAGACCCATAGTGAATTTTGATGGGGAACATTTTCCTCCTTAATAAAAATGCTCGAAAATAAAAAAAAAAACAAGATAATCCTTAAATTTGTTTCTTTTCATATATCGATTTTGTTACGAAGATTTTCAGGGTAAAAATTATTCCTACCGATTTCGTTTGTTCGGGAACATATAGTAAAATTTTATGAGGAATATCTTACGAAAATTCCACTAAAATGTAGTTTTATGGGTGAAAGTTGGCAGCACTTGCAAAAAGTAGCAAATTGAGCCTGCACCCATTTCATTCTCATTTTATTTGACTTTGGAGTGGGATTTACATGATAAATGTTATTCCTACCGATTTCTTTTCTTCGGTGACTTATAGTGGAATTAAATGGAGAACATTTCCCCCCTTACGAACATTCCCCTAAAACGAAGTGTTATTCGGAAAATTGGCAACACTGACAAAAAGTGGCATATTCAGACCAAGAATTATTTCATTTTCATTTTATATAAATTTACAGGGGTTTTATTGTTGTAAATATTAATATTAGCGATTTAACTTGTTCGGCGACCTATAGTGAAACTAGGTTCTGAACATTTTTTCTATTGACAACATCCGCCTACAATGAAGTACAGTGGTTCAATAGGCATTAAATTGAAAATAGTAGGAGATTTGCAAACCAATTCATTAATAAGGTATTATATCTCCATTTTCGAACCGATATTCTGTTGCTATGTATTAGATCTATATTAGATCTTGTATTCTAGAACCTATAGTGAAATTTTGTGCAGAATATTTTTCCATTGACACCAACCCTCTAATATGAAACACAGTGGTACAACAGGCAACATATTTAAAATAGTACGAAATTCACTTGTGAAATTAGTTAGGTTTTTAAATATCAATTTTCCGATCGATATTTTCTTGCTATATATTAGATCTAGAAAAATCTTGTGTTCTAGAACCTATAGTGAAATTTTGTGCGGAATATTTTTTCCATCGGCACCATACCAGTTAAATTACATTTTATATGTGAAATTGGTCCCAATTCGAAAATACACAAAATTTATGCAATTTAATTATTTAATTGTTATATATCGATTTTGTCATCGTTATTTTTGTCGGTATATGTTATATATAGAAAAATCTTGTGTTCTGAAACCTATAGTGAAATATTGTGTAGTATATTTTTTACATTGACATCAAACAGAAAATATTACAATTTATGGGTCAAATTGGCCCCAATTCGAAAACGCCCAAAAATTACGAAATTTAATAATTTAATGCTTATTATCGATTTTGTCACAGTTATTATTGTTTCAATATATTATATCTAGCAAAATATTTTGTTCTGAAACCTATAGTGAAATTTTGTGCAGGATATTTTTTCCATTGACACCAACCCTCTAACATGACGCACAGTGGTACAAAAGACAACAAACTGAAAATAGCATGAAATTTACATATATAATTATTTATTATTTTTTTTTAATATCCATCTTCCGACCGATATTTTGTTGTTATATATTATATCTAGAAAAATCTGGTGTTCTGAAACCTATAGTAGAATTTTATGTAGAATAATTTTTTCCTTAAGGTCAATCCTCTAAAATGAAATTTTGTTTCAAAAAATGGCTTCATTTGAAAGTTATTAAAAAAATATATTTTTCTTGGCTTGTGCCTGTATGTCGCGAATACCCCTAATGCCAAAAAATCTTAAACTTTGAAACAAAAACCCATATTATGCTATAATAAATCTATTACCAAATTTGTGTAGGATTTTGACTTCTTAAATAACCACATAACAACCTCAAAAAATAAAGTTCTTTAAAAAATAACGCCCAAGCGTTATGCGAACAACCAAAAAATTACTGCATTTCCGTTACAAGACATTTAAGCCAGCCAGTCAGTTAGATTCGAATTTGAATTCCGTCATACAATTATTATGTAATTAAATGAAGACATTTATTTTTGTGCAATTTACCTGAAAACACCCACACCAACCACGTCTACCACGAAATGCTGGCATTTTCTTTTGCTGTTGATGACGATAGAATTTCTGTAGTGGCGTTTCGCGTACGTCTTCCCCCTTTGCGGAATCTTTGCCGTTAAATGTATAGCCAAAGGTGTAACCTAAAATATTATTGGCATAAAAGGAGTTACCACCACCAGTGCCACAACTATCATCTTTTCCAATGCCGGACGTTGGATCGTTGGGGTTGTCTCCACCTCCGGATTGTTGGCTATTTTGCCAATAGCGTTGTAAACTGTGCAGACAATTTAGTTCCGGTAGACGAGCTTTTAATTGACTAAAGTCAAAACGCTGGTGAAAGGATGTTGATGATGTGTCGCTGGTGGCACTGTTTGTGTGTGAGCCGCCACTACTGCCACCGCCGACGTTATGCAGCTGATGGTGGGGATGCAGATGATGGGGACTCAGCGGTTGATGGCGCTGATGCTGGAGACTGGCTGGTTTTTGTAGAGTACTATCAGGGGTGGTCTGCAGCGAATCGTTGTTGGCACTTAGCGTATCAGGTTCATTGGTACAGCTGCTGATGGTTGGACACGACTGTAGAGTCTGTTGGGAGGAAAAGAAAAAAAACAGAAAATTAGAGAAAGGATAATTTTGAGTTGGTTTTCTTCATTAGAAAAGTGATTAATGTTAAGGAAAAAATATTAATAAGTTTTCCATTTTCTCATTTTTCAGGCGATTAGGATCTCATTGGCGAACAATTACCCTTACCATTTTGAATAGGAGTTTTTTTTTCAGCCAAACATCATAAATTTTGAAAATGCTTTTTAGTTTTAGTTTTTTTTTGGTCAACAATAATTTGTTAACTTATCTAAACAAAATGGCCAGTAATGATCAACATTTGATTGTCATCTGAATGTGCTGGAAATAACATGCGCCCAGTAATGTTAAAAATAATATACAGACAGTTCCGGATAATTGCAATTTCAACAAAGTAAAAAACATAACAATTCGAAAAGATTCAAAAATGTCGATTTTAATTTTTATATATCGAATTTCTAACAGACATTTTGTTCCTATATATTATATCTAGAAAAATCTTGTGTTCTGGAACCTATAGTGAAATTTTGTATAGAATATTTTTTTTTATTGGTCCTAACCCTCTAACATGAGGCACAGTGGTTCAAAAGGCAACAAATTGGAAATAGTACGAAATTTACATATAGATTTATTAAAGTTTTGTAAAATCCATTCTCTGGTCGATATTTTTTTGCTATATATTAGATATAGAAAAATCTTATGTTCTGGAACCTATAGTGAAATCTTGTGTAGAATATTTTTTACATTGACACCAACCCTCCTATATGAAGCACAGTGGTACAAAAGTCAACAAATTGAAAATAGTACGAAATTCACATATATATTTATTAATGTTTTTAAAGATCCATTTTCAGATCGATATTTTCATGCTATATATTATATCCAGAAAAATCTTGTGTTCTGGTACCTAGAGTGAAATTTAACGTAAAATATAATTTCCATTGACAGCGAACTCATAAAGTGACATTTTCTGGGTGAAATCGCTACCAATTCAAAAATATCCAAAGTTATAAAATTTAATTTTTGAATTTTGTATATATCGATTTTGTCACCGTTATTTTTGTTGCTATATATTATATGTAGAAAAATCGTGTGTTCTGGAACCTATAGTGAAATTTAGTGTAGAATATTATTTTCATTGACACCAACCTTCTAACATGAAGCACTGTGGTACAAAATGCAACTAATTAAAAATAGTACGAAATTCACATATAAACTTTTTAAAGTTTTTGAATATCCATTTTCTGACCGATATTTTGTTGTTAGATATTAGATATAGAAAAATCTTGTGTTCTGGAATCTATAGTGAAATTTTGTGTAGAATATTTTTTCCATTGACACTAAACCCAAAATATAAGAATTTATGGGAGAAATTGGTATCAACTCGAAAATACCCAAAATAACCAATTTAATTATTTAATTCTTATATATCGATTTTGTTAACGTTATTTTTGTTGTTATATATTACATCTAGAAAAATCTTGTGTTCTGGAATCTATAGTGAAATTTTGTGTAGAATATTTTTTCTATTGACATCGAACTCATAAAATGAAATTTTCTCTATGAAAATGTTACCAATTCGAAATGACTCAGGAATGTCATTTTTAATTTAAGATTCCGATAAAATTTTCCCGGTTCCACATAAGTGCCTCCACCTGTATGTTGAATATTGCAACTCCCCGTATATTGTTATTACAACAATGCTGTTGCGTTTTTTATTATTGTTGTTATTTGGTTGCAAAAGACAACAGCCGGTATGTAATATATGATGGTGATGGTGGCAGACATATTTGTTGTTTATTTTTGACCAACTGATGTTGCAACAATAAATTGTTGACCATAACTCCCCTTCATCCTCTCTTCCTCTTCTTCTTTATCTCTCTCCAACTATTCCAATACCACATACGTACACATGCCTATGCCAGCTTTGGCGCTTAATGTGCAACGATGATATGCACAAATGTCCAATATTTGCAATATCTGGAGACTAGATGAGAGGTACATATATATTGAGTGAACAATATATATAGATATGGGAACTTTCACTACAAAGCAAATAACAACAACTAGAAAAAAATGAAAAACGAAAAAAAAATATTTCGCAAATTTTGAAATTGAGTAAATTTTCCGCTGTCGAATGAAAGAAAAAATAAATAATTGCAACGAAACTATGGCTGGTCACATTGGCGACTAGGAGCATCATTTATGGTAATGGTTCACAAATAAAAAAATGGCCAACCATTAGAGGTTAGGGAAGTAGAGATGTGGGCCTCTAAGTTTTTAATCATTAAAAGGAATTTGGGCATTAACATCTGGAGATTTTTATTTATTTTTTTAAACCAGGTCAGAGAAAAATCAAATGGGGCCTTAGGGTCAATATGGTTTTTTTTCTTTAATGGAAACTGGAGCCCTTTTTTTATATTTTTTAATCCCTTTCCCTTCTTTTAAATAATCCCTCTTCATTTAGGTCAGTAGCAGCATATCGAAAAACAAATTCAAAATATTGTTATAATTTTAATTTAAAATTGATAGCCAATAAAATCTCCATTAAAGGCGAATTAAATGCATGCAGAGATCACTAACAAAAAAATTAAAAAAAAAATAAATAAATAAAAACAACAAACAGAAACCGAAAATAAATCCGAATTAAAACCAACCCATTTTTTTCTTAATTAAAATCACCTGTGATGATTGTTGCTGGCAAAAACCACAGCATAATCAAATGTTTTCACGAAATCCAAAATTCCAAATCAAAAGCACACAAAAAATTAATCAATTTTTTGTACAACAATAATAATACCCTCATCATCTGCAAGTACCCACCATGTACCTTACCTTAAAATAATGCACAAAAACAAAAAAAAAAAAAACTCAAACAACAACAAAAACCACAAAAAAAAAAAAAAGACAAGACAAGACAAGAAATACAAATTAAAATTTCCCAAAATAAGAACCATTATTAATGTTTTTAAATATCCATTTCCTGACCGATATTTTGTTGCTATATATTATATCTAGAAAAATCTTGTGTTCTGGAACCTATAATAAAATTTTGTGTAGAATATTTTTTCCATTGAAACCAACCCTCTATCAAGAAGGACAGTGTTACAAATGGTATCAAATTGAAAATAGTACGAAATTCACATATAAATTTGTTAATTTTTTAATATCCATTTTCTGGCCGATATTTTGTTGCTATATATAATTTTTAGAAAAATCTTGTGTTCTGGAACCTATAGCGAAATTTTGTGCTGAATATTATTTCCATTGGCACCAACCTTCTAATAAGAAGCACAGTGGTACAAAACGCAACAAATTTAAAGTAGTATGGAATTATCATAAAAAATTATAAATGTGTTCAAATATCCATTTTCGGGCCGATATTTTGTTGCTACATATTATATCTAGAAAAATCTTCTGTTCTGGAACCTATAGTGAAATTTTGTGCTGAATATTTTTTCCATTGACACCAACCCTCCAATAAGAAGCACAGTAGTACAAAACCCTACAAATTGGAGATAGTACGGAATTCACATAAAAATTAATACTGTTTTTAAATATCCATTTTTTGACCGATATTTTGTTGTTGTACATTATATCTACAAAAATTTTGTGTTCTGGAATCTATAGTGAAATGTTATGTAGAATATTTTTCTCATTAGCACCAACCCCTTTAGATGAAGTACAGTGGTACAAAAGGCAACAATTTGAAAATGGTACGAAACTCACATATAAACATACTAAGGCATTTTAATATCAATTTTCTCGGCAATATTTTGTTGCTATATATAAGGTCTAGAAAAATCTTGTGTTCTGAAGCCTATAATGAAATTTTGTGTAGAATATTTTTTCCATTGACACCAACCCTCTAACACGAGGCAAAATGGTACAAAAATCAACAAATTGAAAATAGTACGAAATTCGCATATAAACATACATATGCTTTTAAATATCCATTTTCTTCCCGATATTTTGTTGCTATATATTATATGTAGACAAATCGTGTATTCTAGGACCTATAATGAAATTTTGTGTAGAATATTTTTTCGATTGACATCGAACTCATAAAATTACATATTATGGGTGAAATTGTTAACAATTCGAAAAGTCACAAACTTAAAAAAACTTTTAAAAGTTTACATGTAAATTTCGTACTATTTTCAATTTGTTGCCTTTTCTACCACTGTGCTTCATGCTAGAGGGTTGGTGCAAATGGAAAAAATATTCTACACAAAATTTCATTATAGGCTTCAGAACACAAGATTTTTCTAAAAATAATATATAGCAACCAAATATTGTCCAGAAAATGGATATTTAAAAACTTTAATAAGTTTATATGTGAATTTCGTACTATTTTCAATTGGTTGCCTTTTGTACCACTGTGCTTTATGTTAGAGGTTTGGTGTCAATGGAAAAAATATTCTACACAAAATTTCATTAAAGGTTCCAGAACACAGGATTTTTCAAAAAATATATAGATATTATATATACTATGAAAATATCTGTTTGAAATTCGATATATAAAATTAAAAAAAAATTGACTTTTATTAAGAAAATATATATTTTCGATTTTTTTCCATTACACCCCAATATCCAATTTTATATAAACCACAACTTTTCATTATTATTTTTTTGTTTATTTTATTTTTTTTATTATTTCAGTTGATTGTTTTTTTCTTCTTCTTCAACATTGTTGCTGCTGGTTTTGGGTTATGTTTTTGGTTTGTTTTTTTATTTTTATTTTTATTATTTGCCAATCTTGCACAAAACATGATAAACATGTCAAAAAATATATAATATAATAATAATCATATTTTAATAATAAAAAAATCTTAACATTTAATATATTTCTTTTGTGCTGTTGATGGTGTGATTTCTTTGTTGCAAAAAAATTAGGAAGATGATTGTGTTAAAAGCTGAGGATTATAATAAGTTACGCTGGTTATAAGCTTAGGGGTATTATATATTTTATTATTGAGAAATATGTTAAAATATTGATTATAAAA